AGTATCTCTATGGAACAGGTAAAATAGTATTATAAAGGCAGATTGTCCTCAAGACCACACAAAGCATTGCTAGCAAAGGAATGAATAGCACTTGGTACCTTCTGATTTCCAAATTGCATGTTCAAGTCTCCAAATCAAAACACAGTATTAGCTATATAACTATGGGAACACTGGTTTTAGTATTATGTCCTAAAACTCCATTTCTTGCAATGGTTTTATTGGCCTCCTACAAGGAGGCAATGCAAGGGGTAATGCTGTGGGACTCCACCTAATTTGTCAGGATCAACAACATTAGCTTCTGTAGTTCTTACAAGGGCTTGATCTTACTTATTGGGCTAGTTCTGCTGAAATTAAATCACTGCATGAAATATACGTTTCATTAAAAATAACTGTGAAGAAGTGGTACTACTTATTTTCAAAGTTTGCCTTTATTTTACAGATCAATGGCGTTATGATATTGCAGTAATGTCCATAGAACAGCAGGGGCTAAGTGTTTGCTATGCCAAGCACAGTCCTTGCTGTTAAAATAGTGCTTTATAAAAGTGACTACTTAGGTAACCAATACCAGGCCAGCATAAATGAAATCTGACAGATTCAAACTATTTAGAGTTCATTCTGTCCTATTTGTGTGCAGAAGGGAAGTATATATGTCTGCCTTAAAGGAATATTCTTTCACAAGGAATTTCTTTAACCATGGGGCTCAACACCTACTCACAGTCTTTCTCCCCACTCCTTGACCCTACATGTCTGGTAGAAGCATCTTGAAGTCATGTGTAGGTGCTGTGATGGCAATGCAGAGTCCGACCAAGCCTTATTAATGAATAAATATTATTCAAGTCAGACCTGAAGGAGGATCTGATAGTCACCCATCTCATCCAGAAACTCTCCAGTGCTATGTTATGCTTTCTTATTATGTTTTCTCGTGAATTTGCAAAAGATATTGGCAAGACAAATGTGAAGGAGCTAGCTATGGTAGAAATGTGGTGGAAGAAATCTATATATTCAAAACACAGTTTCCTGTCTGGATTTATTTTGCCCTGAGTTTTGGGCACAATCAGGCATGGATTCTGGACTTCCTTTCTCCTAGGGATTGACATTGTACCTTGATGATTAGGAAGAAAATTACTGAATGATGGACAAAGGGGGAAATGAGAGGATTGTCATACTGTCACTTCAAAGACTAGCAACACAGATGTATAATAATATATTTTAGAGATGGATTTTGGGATGAATAAGCTTATACCAGCCCTTCTGAGTTTGCATTTTGACCACTTCTGATGGAGACTAATCCAAAATACCTAAGAAAATACACATTCTACTGGGCTTCCAGTATATGTGTTTTGAACTAGAGAAGGAAAAATCTTCCCCCAAAAAAGACCAAGTTTCCTTTCCTCTTTTTGGTTTCTGGCACAAGACATGCAAATGTGGGAGGGAGAAAACATCCCGCTCAAAAGAAGAGAGTCTTGGGAAGTCAGCAATATAAAAAAAAGTTTCTTGAAAAAAAAAAACCACCAACGCAAACTCAAGTGTTTCACTACAAAATGAGAAGTAAGGTGCACAGAAGGCAGCAGTCACAGATCTGTTTCTTTCATGTTTTCAACTCACCTCATTCCAGATAATGGTCAGCAGCTTCCATGCCATCTAGCCTCAAAGACTTAAGACATGAAGGTAAGAAGCATCACCAGTTTTGCTGAATATGATACTGGCAAGTGGAGGGATCAAGGGCCATTGCAGGCAATGACCTAGAAAGCCAAAGCAGATCATTAACCTCATGAATGAGGTAGGTTACGCTTGTGAAACGAGAATCAGAATCACGATATTGGAAAACACAAAACAATTAATCTGGTAAGATCTGTGCATCCCCTGCATTTTCAAATGCTTATTTAAAGTTAATCTATATTATAATATCATTTTATGGCTGGCCGGTGCAGCTTACTAATCATATAATACCCCCAAAGGAATCTGATGATTTGGAAAAATCAATAATGATCAGTAGTCAGCAATTCAAATGGGCTGGAGAACGTCCATTCCCTTCAAATGGGAATACTAGCACTTCCTATAAAGGGGAAATAGGAAATGAAGGAGGAACTTCAGCACTTCTGAAAATGTACGTCTAAATTATCAGCTAAACTACTCTCAGTAGCATTTGGGCCCTGGATATTATCTTTCTTCTGAACTCCAAAATTACTCAGCTCGAAAAAAAAAAAAAGAGCATAAGATTTGAAAGTAGTGGGAGAATGGAGGTTTTCTGCATAGGTTTTGCAGCTATTTTTGAAAGGGAAGCTAGGGTCTGAATTTGTAAGCTCCATCATTGAAGTCTGGGGCCATGGTGCGTACTGAGAAATGGTATCTAGCCAGAGAGCCCTGGTCATAGAGAAGGAAATAAGGCAAATAAGATACAACTGTTACTAATCACCACCATGGCATCATTTCCAAGTTTAAGCACTTTGAGTTTGGGGATATTTTATTATGAATATAATATTTTCAGAAGAAGCAGGTGTTTTTGTGGAAAGCTGAGAATAGCCCAATACAAAAACCTTTCCAGAAGTATTAATAAGAAGTAAAATTTAATGAAATGTTTTCAACTGAAAGATTTTTTTTTAAACTTCCAACCCTAGCTGCTGGATCATAGTTCCTTAGTTTTGCAGTGCAGGATAAAGGAAAAACCTTTATTTTGTGAACCATATGACACAGATAACACAAGAAATATCAATAATGAAAGTATTCAGAACTGCCAGTACTTCACTGTCACAGACTGATTTCTAATATTTATTTCATCCCACTCTCCTGGCCCTCTACTCTTCTGTAAGGGATAATTAAAAGCATAGGAATAAATGGTCAGCTTTTCCAGTGGAAGTTTATCAGTGAAGTCCCCCAAAGATATATGTGAGGTCCTGTTAGCAGAAGATTAGGCAAAAGAAATACTGAAGTAACATAGCTTACAAATAATACAAAGCTATTAGGAAAAATAAATGCTGGAAAGAGTTGCAGAGGAATATGATGATACTGACTGACTGTGTGATAAAATGTCAGATACAATTCAGTGATAATAGTGTAAAGTGGTGCTAACTTTAGATACACAGTAATAACTTTTGGACTGGCTCTTACCACAGAAGAAATCTCTGAGTTCTGAAAACATCAGTCCAGGGCTCAATACAGAAGAGACCAAGAAAGATGGTTAAACGTGTGGAACATCTTCCACAGGCAGAGTGATGAAATAGGCTAGGGCTCTTTGGCCTGAAGGGAGGAAGAGATGGAAATCCCTGAGACAATGACAGGTGGGGGGAAGGTGAGTAAAGAATGATTATTCAGACCTTCTCATAATGTTGGAACTAGAAGACATTAAATGTAAACTACTGGATGGCAGGCTGGGAACAAATACCCGGTGTGTAGTTAGGCTGTGCATCTCATTACTTCATGAGTGCAAAAAGCGTTCAGACATGTACAGAAATTATTAAACAGGTTCCTAGAATGAGAATCCCTTGAGAGCTATTAAAATATCTCCTTATCGGAGAGTCCCTGACAATACATAGTGAAGGGATGAGTGAACCAACTAGAGAAACCAGGAGTATATATATTTGCCCTGTTCTTTTGCTCCTCCTTAGCTCCATTGCTGAAAATGTGACAAAAGGCTGTGAGGACTCTTGCTCTCATGCAGCAAAACAGTTCTCATGTTGAAGGGTACTTTCAGATATTCTGTTTTGCAATCTATATGATATGTGAAGTGTACATGTGAATGTGTGTGGTGGCTGGTGGCGGTTGCTGTGACCACAGTGAGGAGACGTTCAGAGCAGGGCCACTGCTTCCCCGTCATAGCTTCCTCATTGTACCCTTTGGTGTTAATGAACCTGAGAAGAACAAGGGGAATTCAGAGTTTCTGTCTCTCTTACTCAATTCCAGTAAATTTGTGCCAAGAAATGGTAAAACAATTCTTTGAAATGGTGAGGCCAGTATTTTGTGGTTTGATTAAATATTTTAAATTTTATTTATTTTTATTTTTATTTTTCCCTGTCCTGATTTAACTTAACCAGGTGGTCAAATTTCAATTATCCTCATCACTTTTTGTCTCACTGTTTTACGTTGATGTTTATTCATGTTCTCCTGATTGTACAACTCATCAGTTCCCTCTCCTTAACGTGTTGATACCAACGTGCAGGGATGGTATAAAAAGTGTAGCGAAACACTGTCATTTATTCCCTCTGGTCTTGTTTGTGTGCTTCAGAAGTACTTGCACAGACACAAATAGACTTTCGTTGTTCATGGAAAGAGATAAGGTTGGGGGTTTCTGTTTTATTTGTTCTATACCACACATATTTTCCCCACCCACTCCCTCACTCACTTTTCTACATACTCACACACAGCTGTACTTGTATATTGGCAGATTTCAGAGAATTTAACTCAGTTTAGGAGAATGTGACCAATGTCTGGGATGAAATGTTTATATTTTCAGCATCACAAGTCATTTCCACTAATCTTACCATCACAGGTGGGTGTTTCTGGGAAGGGTGCTAAAGCACCTATCACTCAGCATTTAGGACACTGAAACAGCATAAGTGAAAGTAGTGCCCTGAAGAGTTGGGGTGCACCATGTTGTCATAGACTATTTGCTGCCTGCCCAGCTTAGCTCTATTTTCAGAAGCAGAGAAGTGATTTAGCTAACAGGTGATGCAGTTGTCTGTGTTTTTCTGCCTATTCCTTTGTTGAAAATGTCGATATGCCCCATAGCTCTGCCTCATTGCTGTATCTTTGACTACTACTTCTCATACAGGAATCTGCACATAGATAATTCAAGTGATTTTATGAATAGAGGGATTTTTCTGAGCCTTCTGCATTTTGCTCAAGAGTTGTCCCTAAGCTTTGTGTCTCTGTGGATAGATGAGTGCATCTGCAAGTTTCAAGATGTGCAGTTTCTGTGGGTGGGGTGGAAGAAGAGAAGAAGAAATGGCCTCCAGCATTGTTAAAGTTTCTGGTGCCTCACATCAATATCTGTTCTGTTACAGGTTCTGCTTTTTAAACACTGACCTCAAGAGAAGCTTTGAAGGCTGAAAGGGTTATTATGCGACTGGACACCTTGAGTCACCTGGGGTAAATTACTACAGTCTCTCAGATATTAGTTAAGTCCTTGTGTTCTGGTGAAATCAGTGGAGCTTGTTTTCACTGGTGTAGTATCTAAGCCATCAAGTTTAATGAATCATTACAAATAATTTAATCTGCACTTGCAGGTGCTATTAAAACCTTTTTTTTTTACCAAGTTGTTTTTTGTTGTTTTTTTTTTTTTTTTTACCTAGGAAGAGCAATCTTTCTCAGTCACAATGGTTTATATATGGAATAGTGGGATATGTTTTGCTCATTAGAAAACCTGATGCTGAATTCAGTATTCCCTTCTGCTAAACTTACCTCCTCCAGAATTTAAGACTTCAAGTTGCAGGGGATAAAACATAAGGCCCTGGTTAATTGCAAATAAATAGTGCCAGAAATATGTACAGATGGTACCTGAAGTTCACTTCTGAAGACTATCCAGTAAACTATATATAATTTGCACAACATGTATGTACAGGAAGCAGGAGAACAACTTTTTTGTGGTTTCTCACATTTGTAAAAAAACAAAACAACAGAAAAAGAAATCATAAATGAACACTCTCAGTCTGTGAAACTTCTTATTTGAGAAAACAGCAACCTGTATTTCTATTTATTTACCTTAATTAATTTAATTAATTTAACAAGTCTGAAGATTTCAGCATTTTACAGGATACAGGTGTAAATATCTGGCGAGTAGAGTGTATATATTAAACTATATCTACTTAGCTAGTAAATATTTTGCTGCATTAGTTTGCTCATTCCCAAGCAATCAGTTGTGAACTCCAGTGTTGTAACGGGTCCACAGGGAACATTTGTGCTTTGGTTGGCACTTAGATTAAATTCATCAAATGATTTTTTTCCTCCTTCAAGGCTGACATTTCAGAATGTTTTTTTTTAAAAGGTTGTGTGCCAACTGCCAAAGTCAATTAATTAAATGGTAAATCTGAAATTTGTAGGGAAAGACTCTCGTTCCATTTTGCTGTGCGACCTTGGAAAAGTGAACATTTAATCCACAAAACACATGGTTTACCAGAGGGTCCTGATCTGCTTACATTGAAAGTAAAAGAAAAACTCCCTGAGATTTTTTGTGAGATTAGGGATTACCTCAAGGATGGAGTTTTACTCTGCATTTTCCTTCTGCTTTTGATAAATGATAGTAATGTCAATATCCTTTGAGGTCCTGCTATGCTTGGTAGCTTAAAGGATTCATCACTTTTGTCCTGGTTGGTGCTGGCCTAGAGTTCCCGTTGGTCTGGCAGCGGGAGGAGCTGCAGCACCCTGAGACCCCAGGGGCTCCCCAGGTCCCAGTGCCCTCACCTGTGTGCGGGGGCGGGGGGAGCACAGCTGGAGGGCTGGGCCCCGATTGGCCGATAGTCCATGTCACGTGACATTGTGCTCACTATATAAAGGCAGGAGTGGGCTGGGAGGGGCTGCCCCTTCTGGGAGTGTGGCTGTGGGGCCTTGGTGTTTGGGATCGCCGGCCGGGAGCAGGTGGGTGGTGAGCAGCTGTATTGTACATCACCTGTTGATACTGCTGTCAGTGTGTTATTCTGTTATTAAACTGTTTTTATCTCAACCCGCGAGTCTCCCTTTGCCCCTCTGATTCGCTCCCCATTCCTAAGTGGGGGGAGGGTGGGTGAGCGACTGTGTGGTGTTTAGCTGCTGACCAGGCTCAAACCACAACAACTTAGTAGAAGGAAAATGTACAAATTTGTGGCCTTGTTTTCCATATGTTTGGAGGCACCCCAGATGAAGGTATGGTGTCCCAGAATTTGTGATTCCTCTGCTGGCCAAAGTACTTAATCTCAGCTCTATCAGTGAGGTGATAGGGGCAAAATTCAACACACATGAGCAAGTAGTGATCCTATTCTAAGATAGTGTAGGTATTACAAGTCTCTCCCAAAACCACACACTTTGCAAGGAGGGTATCTGCCTTGAATGACTACAAAGGCAGTCCTGTTTCATAGCTTAGGCAGGACCTTACTTCTCTATCCCTTACTCCCAGTGTCACTTTTTGTACATCTTATTGAACTCCTTATACTGTATTTGAAATTTTACCATCATAAAGTATTTGGAAATGAGTGCAGTGCAGTGACTGTTCTTCAGCTGTTAGTTTTCTGCCATTATTTTTATATTTATTTTGCATTCATTTATGGTTTTTCTGCTGATGTGGATCAGGGCCCTGTATTTTGGGCCTGATATATGCATGGAATGGAAACACAGCCCAAAGACAGTATAAGAGATGGTAAAAACAGTGATAGGTCAGGTGAATTGAGGCAGAAAAGATATGTGACATAGTACTTTTCTCCCTTTGTTATTTGAAGTTATTTTATTCTATGTTTTTGTACAATTTCAGGTTCAGGACTTGTACCTAAATTTTGGCCTGCCCATTGCCTGCTTGTTTCATGAAAGTAAGTGTTTTGTTTCTTTATGAAGAGAAAAACTGCCTGAAGAGGGTGATTTCCTGCATAACCAGAGATTTGTTAAGATTTAGTCTCTAATATGACAGCTGGTTGTGAGGGCGATAGAGTTCAAGGAAAAGCACTGATCAGCCATCTGTAGTAGGGACAAGTGGTGAAAACCACTAGTTCCAAGGGTGTGTCTTAAATACCTGCTTTGTGGGAATGTAGGCACTATATATCAAGGCACAGGAAAGTAATTCTCAGGATTCATCATCTTGTGCTTCGTCCTACACGTTTGCTTTATATAGTGGATAGAGTAGCAGTTCTTTCTCTCAAAGCCCTGTAGGGCATTTTTTAGGATGTGTTTCTTCCTCCACCACCTCTTTGGAATTGTCCTGTCTGTCCAGATATATTTTGAAAGTAAGATCATCTCATGTTTTCCTGTTGAAATCGATCCTCCTTGTGAAAGAGACTTACAGATGTGATAGCCCAGAGAGACTGAATCACTCAGGTGTGAGCAGAATTGAGAGATCTTCAGCTCTGCTTTTCTGAGCCACTGTTACTATATCTAATCTGAGGTATATTTGATGTAAAACATCAGCAAGAATGTCTCCAAAAATGAGATGAAGGATGCCAAGCTGTGGATGATGACTGAGGTCAAAGCTACTTGGAATTCCCAGCTTCTTGATACTATAAAAATTGAAGTGTTTCTATCTATGCCTAGAAGAATAATTGCTGAGGAAACATGGGAAAATTTAGTTTAAGCACTTGAAGAACTTCATACGGGGCTAAGGCTAAGCAATAAATGGGTGGAAGCTTGGAATATTGAATTTTTGTTTAAATCCTATCTGAAGTACCTAAGGTCTTCGGTGAGTCTAAAATTTGGCTGATGTGTGTTTAAAATTCCTTCCTGTAGGATGGATTTGTTGATATTTCTGTCAGGGGAATGATGGGCAGATAAATGGGTCAAGCATTTACTTATTGCAGTAATAACTGTACTATATATGGATTTAGACAAATATAAAAGGTGTTTTAAATGGCTTGTAAAATTTGGCAGAAAACAGATCTCATGAATGTTTCTATGTGATCGCTGGATTACCAAATTTCCCTTAACCAATGTTGAGTGGTTATCTATATTGTTTCTGTACAAAATGCCTGTATCTCCCTGTGAGCTATGAATCCAGTTTTCCGAGAGATCATTAAACATGAAAGAACTAAACATCCTAATTTTTGTCCCTAAAGTTGTATCTCAGCATTGTCTTCATCAGTAGCCTTGTCTGCAGGAAGTGTAAAGTTTCCTGCTATGATTGTTTGACTGTTGCCAATTATCAGATCTGCTTTTGGCAGCTTTCCCCTCAACCTGCTGATTAGCTAATGTGTGGTTACTAATACAATATGGGAAACCGGTGTAAACGAGGAAGCAAAAGATTTATTAATTTCATGTGCTAAACACTGTTTGTAATATAATTATCAATACCATGAAAAGAAATCCTGGCTTAAGAAATAGTCAGGTTTTGATGTCTTTTGTGAAATGAGGCACAAGAATTTTGTGCAGTAAACAGACATATTTTCCCCTTGATACACACACATAATTTTCATTAGATTCATAGATTTTAAAGGCAGAAGAGGGACCATTAGAGCATCTAGTCTAACTACCTGTAAAACACAGGCCACATAATTTCATCCAGCTACCCTGTATCAGAATTAATAGGAACAGGAGCCAAATCCTGAGCTGGATGTACAGCAGTGTTACTCCACCAGGCTGGAATAATGATGATTTATACCAGCTGAGAAATTGGCAGTAGACTTAAGTGACAATACATTCTTTTTGCATAAACCTAAATGAAAATGGTCACTTATTTTAATAGCAATATTGAAAGAACCTTGCTGGGAGTGAGCTTTTGCAAAATACTTTAAACTTTAGAATATTTTTTTTTTTAAAACCTTTCTGGGATGATTGTATTCCCTCCTGTAATTTAAACTTGTCCCTTCACTGAATCTCCTGAAGAAAATGCATAAAGTCAGCAGAAGAGAAATATTTCTCTTTAAATTGAAACCTATGCCAAGATTCTTATTTGTAATTAATTCATGCCCTAGGATTTTAGTGGGGGAGGGAAGAAATAAATAATATAACAAGCTCCTGAATTTTCCCAGAGCCAAGAAGAACTTGAACTCAAAAGTTCAAAGATGAAAAGTCTCAAGAGCTAAAATGTAGAGTCTGTGATTTCTTTCATTAGGTCCTATATTTGGCAAAACAAGATGTCTCATCACTCTTCCGTAGCCATCTGTACGTGTGTGGGGATGATGTTGTTATATTTATAGCAGATATAGCCTTATCATTTAGCTACAGACAGACTTCTACCTGCTCAGAGCTACAGGGTTTAAGAATGCACTGAGACAATATTGACATAGCCAACACCATAACATCCTGCAATCTTCACAGAAACTAAGACTTTGCACACACCAAAGCTGAACAAAAAAGCTTCCTTCCTGGTCTCCTAACCCAAGAGAGAGTGCTTAAAGGGAAATACCAGTGTGGGGAGAATAGCCTTCAGATTCTCTCAGATTCACAATCGTTTTCTGTCAGTTCTGTCTCAGAAGGCAAAGGCTTTTCTGTTGAGCGATACAGAAATCTGTGACTATCATGTCAACATTTGGAATACATAAAAAGGAAGACACATCCTTATTGGAGTAGCTGCTTATGTGAAGAGTAAGCAGAGAGAATCTCCTCATAATATTCACATTATGTGATTATAAGCCAACTGCAGGTTTGGCTGATGAACGGTTGGAAGTGCTTTATATTTGCTTTAAAAAAGCAAACAGAATAGGTACATTTTAATACATTCCCCATACTTTTTCCCCTAGTGCTTTTCTTCTTCAGAGTTGAATTCTGTTTCAACATGTCACAGCACATTTTGGTGCCACTGTCACATAGAGAAAAAGCTATGCTAATTTACTGCAGAGAAATGTCAGAAGACATGCTTTGAAGCTTACTAATAAACCCTACTGCTCTGTTTCTATTTACTTCAAGCAGGACTAGAAGAGCCAACCTGTCCTTGAGAAACAAGGTTTCTTTGTCCTTACCCAATAGGATTTAAGTGTTCCCTGTCTTTTAGGAAATCCTCACTTATCTCTATTGTACCACTAAGTATTTTGGTAACGTCATACTTGCCTGCAAAGCTTGTAGCAACATCACCTGCTTCAGCGTGTTGCAAACCACGTCTGCCTCATGGGGTATACCCAGCTCTTGAACTGTTCTTCTCACAATGCCTAGACCTAAAGTTCATTCATCACTCCATAGGAAAATTGAGGAAAATTACCTGTATATCTATTTTATGCAGCCAGGGAAGACAAACCAACTAAGAATGCCATCTTAAATACTGCCCCTTCATGAACATCAGCCTATTAACTTATGTTACATGCTACTGTGAAATAGATCCTCGGGAATAAAACTTTGGGGACAGTGGCTGGTAAATGAGGACAACCCTATGTAGCATCCTACCAAGTTTGGTGATGTATCGAAGCATGTAGAGATCATTGCTCCTTCTCATCTTGCTTCATTATGATGTCTTCTGCCCAAATAAATATGTGTGTAGTATGCCAGTATATCTGCACTATGATACAAGGTAAGACAGGACAAAACATGACTACCGTGGATAAGCCAGACAAGAGATGCTCTGACTGAGATCTGAATTGTATATTGTGGGTAACTCAGTATAATTCTGTTTATCGTTTGGTTCAGTCCTACATTTCTTGGTCTACAAGGCTGACCTCCAAGAAACTTTAGAAATATTGTTTTCCAAAGGCTATTGTTATAGAAAATTTGGCTATGGTTTATGGTCTTGCCAAATTAAATTTAGCTTCAGTGAATATGATATGAAATCTGTATAGTATAGCCCCACCAGTGAATAAAAAGGCTTCTTTAGCCGAGTCATATATAAGTATCAGTAATAAAATCCTGACAATTCGTAAGAGCATTGCATCCACAGAATGTTTGCACTTTCAGTCTGGTGATAAAACATCAGTCTGTATATAGCTCCATTTTGTCATTTGCTTGTGGAGTACTTCTTTCCTACACTAGAATTAAAATTGAAAATACTTTTTCACTTTTGGGGAAAAGAGCATCATTGAAGAGAAATTCTCCCTGGAAAATTAATAGATAAGGTCTGCCACGGTAACTATAAAGCAAGCAAAAGGTAAAAATTGAATCTCTTTATCACAGTTAAGTCATTTTTCTAAACTAGGGAAGTAATATAGGACGGAATATATGGGAAAGATTCTCTTACAGAAAGTGCTTTTAAACTTTAAAAGGTCCATAACTAATATTAGGAATGGTTATAAATGACAGTCTTCTCTTTTAGATTATGTTGCATTTATTACATGCTGCTGGGACTTTATGGAGATTCTCAAGGAATTAAAGTTATATTTATGATAAAAACATGGAGCTGCTTCTAAATAGCATTTTCATCATATTAACTGTTGCCTAGATAACAGGCATATCTCCTCGAGCACCTCTATTCTGGTTTAGCACTACAGCTTGCAAATTAATACAGTCATTATAAGACAGCAAAGCTGTATCACTTACCATTTCATTATTGTTCAAATCAAAATCCATATTTTTTCAGTTTTCCCCAGGGTTACAAACTGGATAGGGAAACGTTATCATCTTGCAAAATAATCTCTCAAGACTCACTCTCTTTGGTGTTAAGAGGAGTAGTTAATCATATTACAGTAATTTTCATATTAATAGATCCTGTGCAAAGAGAGTGTTAATGCTCTCCTTCTACATTCAATCTTCCAACAGTTTTTTATATATGCATATATTTATATATGTGTATATGTGTATATATATGTGTATATATATATATATTAATCTGCTTGGAACTAGATTAGCACAAAAGATATCACGTCCTACTCAGTATATGAATCAGGGTCAAATCAACAGCATGCCCTTAAATTTTTAATCAAAATGGCAATCTGTCATCACTAAGAGAGTTAGGTAATGCTTA